GAAAAAAAATATTTAAAGAAGGAATATTTATGTTTTTTTCCCATATTTAAAAAACGTTTTGTGGGTCAAATGTGATTTCCTTAATTAAACGTGGATTTAAAGTATAAATTCTATAAAACATTTTAGTCTCATAGTCCATATCAAAGAGCACATAATGCTTTGATTAATTGCTTAATGATCTATAGTCTATACTTATTGTTAAAATACTGTAAATGGTGGTTTATTTTATACCATAAGTTTGAACAAGAAATAATGCAATCTACTGTAAAAGAATACTATAATATCGAATCAATAATATTATCGATATCTAAATTTTAAAATTAAGTGGGTTGAAATCTTTAAAAATAAATTTGATAAAAAGAAAATAGTCATGATATTGTAACATTCTTCTTCATATTATATGCAATTTATAATGTCGCTAACACATTATATTTACTTTTATAATTAATATATTTATTTAGTTAATCGACAATAAAATCCTCAAATCTCTTTGAAGTGTCATTTTTTTTTTTTTTTAAATTCACATCATATTAATGACAACAAAAACTAAAATTATTCACTAATTTGAATTTTTCAGTACAATTTGTATTGCAAAAACAAACATTAATTAAAAAAGGGAGAACGACAATTTCCCACCCAAGGTTTGACGAAACGACACTTTCCCACCCATCAAGTTTCAAAACGACACTTTGCCACCCACCGTTATATTCCTTAGGAAAATCCATTACTATTTGACTGTAAAGACGAAAATACATTATTTGATTTAATAATTTTATTATTATTTTATGTCATGCAACAGAGTCAATTACCAATATATCCTCTCTTTAAATATGAAAATTGTATATAAATTTTAGTTAAATTCCAATAAAACATTATTTTTAATAAAAAGTTAGAGAGACAAATTGTAAATTTACATTCCCATTAACAATAACGTTACCCTATAATTGAGCAGTAATAAAAGGTTGCTGGGCAAGTATCAAAATGAGCATTGAGAAGATTCTATAGAGAGAGAAGAAGCAGAAACATGACAAAACCAGATCATTTTTTTTTTTTTTTCTTTTGATTGGTTCCTATTTTTCCTTTCACTTCTTTACTATCATACCACACACACTCTCTGGAACAACAACAACATTTTGCACAACATTTTGCAAAATCAAAATTTTTAGTTTTTCTAGTATTCGCATAGATGATAGACCATAGTACCCACTACCCAAAACCCTCAAACCCACATGGCTTCTCTGACATCTCTCTTTCATTCTCCAACCTTAATTTCTTGCTGTTCATCATCTTCTTCTTCTCCTTCCTCCACCGAATGTATTCTGCCCACATCTTCTTCTTCTTCTCCTTCCTTGACCAAATGTATTTTGCCCACATAACCTGTTATAAAATATTAGTAATTGCAAGTAATAAATCTATTGAATATAAAAACAATAGAATTAAATGTCAATAAAATAAAATTAACAATACCAACAACGTGATCACGTATAGGAGATCCTTCAAAATAACAGGAAAAAATCTGGTAAAGAATACAACCTTAGGATGAATGTCGAGGCCTATGTAACACACAATTTCCTTAAAACAAATTCATATCTTTCACTCGGGTGCACAAGGATTTGAGCAGCATCTGTTTCCCAAGATACAACGATAGATGACTAGCAAGAGAAGCATCACCTTTCCATTCTAATAAACTGAATTAAGCTTTAACTCCAACAAAGGAAAACCTTAAAAACTAGAGAGAAAATGACAAATTGAAATTTTGGTGTGTTTGAAATGAGAGGAAGAACACTTTTTTATACTACTCAAGTGGGACAAAACATTGAATTCCACCATTATTTTTCACCTTTTCACTTTCCAATTCTTAAAACCTCTTCCAGTAATCTACTAAGTTTTCATCTTTCAAATTCTCAACTTACACCATCACATCGCATTTCATTCAATTTAATAATAAATTCCAACATAATCTTCTTCTTCTCCTTCCTCCACCAAATGTATTTTGTCCACTGCAACTCTCTCTGAAATGCTAGATATGACCATGAGCCCATCGAATTGGTTAAATTTGAATTCCTTCTATGCACTTAAAGCATATGCCATACATTTGATTAATTACAGTTTTCTATTACTGTAAAATATATATTAAATCACCCAAAATAATATTTTATGGAATTTAACTAAAATTTATATACAATTTTTTTTTTTCACAAACTCACAAAACACAAGATCTAGCAACTTCCAACAAACTCATTAAAATTTCCAATCTCTACTGATATTATTCAACTAAAATTCATATACGGATTTTTTTTTTAGGAACCCAAACAACACAACATAACATCCAGCAAAACCCATTGAAGTTTTTTATCTCTACTTAAATTTAAAAATTAAAATTCATATAGAAACTCTTTTCACAAATCCACAGAACTCAAAATCAAACATCCAACAAACGCAAAACACCCATTTCAAGAAAAGGAATCTTCAATTCCTGCAGCCACTGAAAATCCACAAAAAATAAACCCTAAAATCACAAACCCATGGACAATAAGATCCAAAAGAAAAAGTGTGTGTGGAAAAAGAAAGGGGGCTATGGTGTCGGCATTAGTGTCACAGTTGGGCTGGGTGTCTGTGACACTTCGACCGCGATTTAGTTGGTTACGAGCTGAATGGGTGGCATCATAGCCAGCCCAGCTTATGGCTGGCCGCCAGCAGGTTACGCCAACGTCGCAGCCTCTAGAGTAGAAGGAAGAGATGATAGAGAAGAAAAAATTAGGATAAAGAAGGAGAAGGAAAGGAAAGAGAGAGAGAAAAAAAAGGCATATTTCAATTTTTAAATTTTGATTTATGAGGCTTCATGTAAATTGACCCTCTTGCCCTTCTTTAGAACAAATTTTCTTAACAAAACATAACAGTGGGTGGGAAAATGTCGTTTTGAAACTTAACGGGTGGGAAAGTGTCGTTTCGCCAAACCTTGGGTGGGAAAGTGTCGTTTCTCTGTAACACCCACATCAAGGTACGTAATTTTATTTATGCCCTAATACCCTTAGTTGGATTTCTTTGAAGTTACCTTAGACAAATGTGAAGAAAATTCCTTAAAACTTCATTAAGGGTAAAATGGTCTTTTCACTCATAATTAGATGAAAAAGTGGAAGTGAAAGGAGTAAAATAATGTGAAGAAGATAATGGAAAATAGGGTATTTTGGTAATTGAATAAAGGATATAGATGGAATTTCATAGAAAGTGCAAGGGCAAAATGGGAATACATGGATATAATATTAGATATAAGGTTTCATTAGAAGAAACCCTAGCCATTCTAACCCTCGTACACGCCACCCTCACCCATTTTTCTCTCAATTTTCTTCACTAAATTTCAAAGGGAACTCATAGGATTTGGCTTGGATTTTTATAGATTTTCAATCCTAAAGCATCCAAAGGTAAGATTCTAGCACAAGGAGTGTGATTAAACTTTAAAGTTTTAAACTCTTATGGTTTTTATATGATCTAGGTCCAAGAGGAAGAGACTTTTAGTAGAAGGAGGTGATATCACACATTCAAGGTAAGTAAACCTAATTTTAGCCTTGATTTGAGCAAGATTTGTGTAGAATTATTCTTGCATGTTTTTATATGATTGTATGTGAGAATTGTTGGCTGTTTTTGGTGTTGAATGATGTATAATTTCCAGCCATGGGAAGTAGTGTATGAGTATGTGATGAATTGGTGGAATTATGGAAGAATTAGTGATGAAATTTTAAAGTGTTGAGAATTGTTGAAAATGGCCAGGTTTGATGCTATAATTAGTAAGTTTTTGCTCAAATTTTGGTGGATTTAGAGAGATGTGGAAGTGTAGCCAACATGATAGTTGCATGTGTATATGAAGTGTCTGATGAAATCCAAAGAGAAAATGCATGCATGAGTTGGCTAAACCTATTGAAGAAAGAGTTAGAGAAAGGCAAGAATTGAAATAGGAAGATTATGTTGGGCTTAACCAAGTTAAATGTTAGTGTTCAAGGGTGCATATTGTTATGCCAAAATTTAGAATATCACTTGGTCATGTTAGTTCCATGAGAGAAATGGCCCTTAATGCTTGGTTCTAGTCACTCGAACCTTTACTACTTCTTGAATAGCACATGGAAGTGTTAGAGAAGAATTGAATGTTAAAGTGTTACTTTGATATGACACTTGAGATAGTAGAGAATGGTAGAATATGTCATGACATACCATTATGCCATAATGAATTTTCAAGTTTGTGTATGTGAACTAGAAAGAACATCAAAGAATGGGCTTGATAATGCATATATTGTGCATATGATTTATATATAGCCTTGTTTTGGTAAATGAGAATATTAAAGAATGTGTTAGCAAAGAATGAGAAAAAGAAAGAAAAGAAAATGGCTTGTAGATTTCTTTTTAGCTAACATGCAAGTATGTATATTTTCTCATTTACTAAAGAATACAAATATAGAATTTCCATAGCTTGGAAATTTATTTAGAGATGTGTATAGTATCTCTTTCTATCCTCTTTCTACAGGATGTTATGTTATAAGGTTGTTGCGATGGGGAAACCGTGAGTGACAGAGATACCCACATGCACGCTGCCATCAGTAAGTCGCATCAGCAAAGAGATGCAGTATTTGTACAGTCCGTTAGTAGTGTATGTGGATGAGGATTGTACCCAGCAGAGCATACGTACATGCACGCCGCCATCAGTGAGCGGCCTAAGCAGAGAGATACAGCATTGGTACGGTCTATCAGCAGTGCATGTAGATGAAGACTTTACCCAGTATACACTCACATGGCCAGGGTTCCAAATCCATGCCTCAACCTAGTTCGATCAGCAAACCAAAATAGAAGAAAGAAAAGAAAAAGAAACAAAGAAGAAAAGACAGAGATACAACATAAAAGACAAAAAACATAAAAAAAAAAAAAAAAAAAGTTATTTTCTCAGGAAAGTTTATTATTCTGTATATGTGTTATGCTACTTGCATGATTCAGTATTTCTTGTGTGCTCAACGATGTACAATTTTATTCATTGTCTTTGCACGTTGGTAAGTAGTAACAGAAAAGAATGTAGAATATCAGAAAAGAACGCAGAATATCAGAAAAGAATGAAGAATATTAGCAAAGATTAAAGTGAGAAAAAGAGAATCAGAACATGAGTAATGGAGAAAAAACAGTAGTGCAGTTTGGTTTACTTACTGAGCAATTAGTGCTCACTCCGTTATTCTACTGTTTTGCAGGTACTAGATGATTTACAATCAGGTGGGATGTCAAGAAGCGGAGGAGTTTGGCGGCACTGTCCAAGATTACCTTGTACTTATTAAAGTATATCAGTTATTTTGTGTATATATTTATATGAATTAAAATTAGAATTTTTGGATTTTACATTATATACCTTTATGTATATATGTTTACAAAAGTTATTTAGTGAATTTTGCCATATATTTCTCAAAGAATTACTAGCTATAGAGTATATTACATTCTCCTATTAGAAAGGTAATAAATAGTTGCTTTATGCAAAATCGTATAAGAAATTAAAACATGATTTATATAAGAGATTTAAAACTCGTAATTGTATGTGTTCATACATTAAATTTACATAAGGAAGATCATGAAATCTTTATAACAAAAATTAAACCACAATTCACAAGAAAACAAAATATGCATGAACAAATGAGGCGATAGACTTCTTAATAAAGACTTTTCGATACAAAGAAATATTGAGATGTTGGAGGATGTTAAAAGAAAAATTACAAAACCTAATAGATCCAATAATCTCCTATAAACTGTAATTGAGATGGCAAGACCACTTGACTTGTGGTCGGATGACAAGACCTCCATTTGTTTCATTATTTTTAGCATATCCTATCCTATTATTTTATTCAATCCTATCAAAATATATATTTGTTTTAGTATTCACAATTTAATTTAAAATTTAATCATATTCTATTCAACTCAAAATATTTAAATTCTTCAAATTTATCACTTCCTCCAATTTTAATTCCTAAAAAGCACAAAATGCACCCAAAATAACCAAAACCACTCGGAACAAAAACCCGCCCCAATTAAAAACTCAGCCTAATTGCGTGACCAAACAATTAAGCAACTAAAACAAAATTAAACCCTAAAAGTATCTATTGAAACAAAAGAAATAGGAAAATCCAAACTCTTGCCACTATCATCGAACAAATCTTGCCAAGAAAAAAAAATATCCTAATGAAATATGCTTAATTTTTCTTTTCCATCTTCAATTCTGATTCAATTGAAACACAATAAAAGAAAAAATACGTTTTTGGTTGAAGTGTTCTACCGAAGTGAAACTCAATCACGTTCATAATCCCATTCCATCGAATGCTCGGAGAGCAAAACCCAATTCTCTCGCTCACTCGCCATTAGTGGAGGATTTCCAAGTGCTTTCCCACTACGGGGGCAGCACTCCCGAGGAAGAATATTACCATCGACAAGGAATCAAATCAACAAGCTCATACTTCACTTCACCAATAGCCTTATCTCTCTTAACCCGATCATGGATACCCACCAACACCCCTCCACGCGGCCTCCTCTGTATGGTCCATGGATACGGCAATGACATGAGCTGGACTTTTCAAGCCATGACAATCTTTCTTGCCCAGATGGGTTTCGCTTGTTTTGTTCTTGACATTGAAAGCCATGGCAGATCTCAAGGTATAAGGGCTTACGTACCACATGTTGATCTTGTTGTTCAAGATTGTTTGTCTTTCTTTAACTCTTTTAAACAAGATCCTTCCTTTAATGGGTTACCTCGTTTTTTATATGGAGAATCAATGGGTGGTGCTATTTGTCTTTTGATCCATTTCGCTGATCCTCAAGGTTTTGATGGAGCAATTTTGGTTGCACCCATGTGTAAAATTTCTGACAAAGTAAAACCCAGATGGCCCATACCTCAAATCCTAACATTTCTACGAAAAATTTTATCTACTTTAGCGATTGTGCCTACTGAAGATCTTATTTACAAGTCCGTTAAGGTGGAAGAGAAAAAAGTTATAGCAAATATGTTACGAACTGGTTTTTCTTCTCAGAAGTACTATATTGTAGAGGTAATTGGAAAAATAAATTAATTGTTGGTTTAATGGAGGAAACCAAAACCACTATATTGTAGAGTAGAGCTAGTTGGAAAAATAAATTAATTGTTGGTTTAATGGAGGAAACCAAGACCGCAAGGCAACACCTTTTGGCTATAAAACCGCACATCTTATTTATTACTTCATCTCCCTTATATTACAATTAACAAAGTATAAAAATAGTAGGAGACTAATGCCAAAAAATTATGAGATAATCACTCTAACAATCTCTTTGCCACAATCAAATATTATCCTTATTTGACTAATTCAACAATAACTCATTAAAAAACAGATAATTTAATTAATAATATATTTATTTTTTAACAACATAACATTCCCTTCCCCTTGAAAACACCCTTGTCCTCAAGGGTTTAATTCAACTAAGGTGGCCATGGAAATTCAGGACTTCCACCAGTAATTTCCATCTCTTCGTCTGCATCACTATCCTTGAAACAAGCTTGAATCATGAACAACTTTTTGCAACGATGTCCGGGACCAAATTTTTCATTACATTTGAAGCATAGTCCCTTTTTCCTTCTTTCATCTATTTCTTCCATTCTTAGTCTCTTGATTGGCATTGTTGCTTGAACACTTTGAGCTTCATAATTTGTGGGCGAAACTTTGGATGAGACGAGATCACGAGCTTCATAAAGCCTGGCTAACCCAATGGCTGAGGACAATGTCAAAGGTCGATTTGCTAGCACAACAGCTCGAATGGAATCCTTTAAACCACTTATAAAGCAACTAACCTATCTACCTTGAGGCAAGAAACCTGCTTTCACTAATAATTTCTCAAATTGCATCTGGGATTCTCGTATTGAACCTTGTTGTTGTAACTTAGTAAGCTCTCCAAAAAAATCAAGGAATTGATTAGGACCAAAACGCAAGTGGAGCCCTTCTTTAAATTCCTCCTATCCAAGGCAATCATCTTTTGCATTAGGAGCTGGTACCATAATTGAGCATTGACTGTTGGCTACTATTAGCCAACCATGTGCTCCGACTCAGCTAAATACGCCAAGAATTGCAACAATTGTCAACGCTTTGCCAAAGTGTCACATCTACCTCCTGAACGACTCAACTCCATCCTCACGCCTTGGCCTTTCATGAAATAGGGAATGGACATCGTAGGCAAACTACCAACTGCGTCGAGCCAACAGGTGTACATGCTCGTGGTTATCGACTATTTCACCAAGTGAATAGAAGTGGAAGCCTTCGCCAAAATTAGGGATCACGAAGTAAAATGTGATATGTCGGTATGGCCTACCAAAAGAAATTGTCACCGACAACGGCTCCCAATTTATCAACTCTGGCTTCCAAGACTTCTATAGAATTGGGGGGATCAAGTTAAACTTCTCCATGCCATGATATCCCCAAGCAAACGGACAAGTTGAGTCTTCAAACAAAACCATCCTTCAAACATTGAAGAAGAGACTACAAAAGGCAAAAGGGGCTTGGGCAAATGAGCTCCCTAAGGTGTTATGGTCCTACAGTACCATGGTGCAGACATCCACAAGAGAAGCTCTTTTTTCCTTGGCCTATGGTTCAGAAGCTATTATCCCAATAGAAATGGGGATCCCTTCAACTCGGCTCCAATGGATGGATGAAGACTCTAATAGCCAACAATTTTGCCAAAACCTTGACACTACCGATGAGTTGAGAGATCAAGCACTCATCCGCAATGCCATTTATCGCCAAAAAATGGCTTGGCCTATGAAAAAAACATCCGAACTAGAGTCTTCACAGTAGGCGACTAGGTCTTACGCCAAGTATTCCAAAACATTTGGGACCTAAGAGCTAGCAAACTTGGTCCAACATGGGAAGGGCTTTACAAAATCACCAAGGTCATGGGGAAAGGAGCTTTCCAACTACAGACACCCGAGGGGAAGAATATCACCAATAGCTGGAACGCAATCCACTTAAAGGCATATCATTTTTTACTACATCCAACTCGGTTCCTTCATACAATAGGAGATAGGGTGGGCTTGTCCACTCCTCCCCGGATCGCTGATAGTAAATTTCATTCCAAGATGGATTTATTTTCTTTTATCTATTAATAAAAGCGAAGTATTATTTAGCAAGTTAAGTGTTTCGTTTTCTGTTTATGAAATGCGCCCCATAGGCTATAAGGGTCATGCCCTTCACGCATAATCAACGTCGTACATGGCTAAATCACATAAATAAAAGACACACATAAACGCTTAAAATTAAAAAGAACTCCGTAAACAAAACCAAAAGGATCCAATTATCATCAGTAAAAATAAGTCTTGAAGAGAATATCAACATGAAGTGTGCAAGACAATTTACAAAATGGAAAAGAAAAAAAAAAAAAAAAAAAAAAAAAAAAAAAAAAAAAAAAAAAGGAAAAGAAAGAAAGAAAACCAAGGCTGAATCAACTCCCCTGCTCTTCCTTGTTTGTTCAGCACGATTGCCGCTTTAGTCGGTATGACATCATCAATAAGGGCAGTATCGCTCTTCCTTCCAGACTCAAGACCATCATTCTTACTTGACTCGACATCGCCACTTCCTGAAGCAATCAAGTCCTTCTTTGGCCTTGTCGGCTCGGTGTCATCAGCAACATGCTCGAACCCTCGAACCCTCCAACCAGCTCAACAATAAAGCATTTATACATGTCAATTTCCTCATTCGGCTCTCATTCGCCTTACTTGCCAACCTTAAATTCTTCTATCAGCTTTACATAGGTTTTAAGAATAGCGTCTGTGGCCACTAACTCGAGCCTCACCATCAGCACTTCTTTCTCTGACACCCACTTGGCTTGGCCAGTGTCTAAGTCCAATTGAGCCTTCAAAAGTTGGGAACGAAGATCCTTTTGGCTAACTCATAATTCCTTTTCCTTTTCCTTCTCCTCTATAGCAGCCATTCGGCTCCTCAACTGAGAGTTAGGTGGACACCAATTTCTAAAGGTGTGCTTCTCCAGACGAAGCCTACAAACAACAAAACAAAACATTAGTAACAACAAGATGAAAAACTTCTAACAAAGCTTCACCAAAGTAAAACCTTACCTGAAACATCTAGGTGGTCATCCACTTGGTTGCCTGAATGGCACCAATCCATACTAAGAGCCGCTCATCTTCAGGGAGTGAGAGAGATCCCACCATGTCCTGACGAATGAAGTGTCGGAGTATGCCGAAGCGGAGGAAGGGATTGATATTTTCACAACCTCATCATCAGGAACACCCACCTGCTAAGCTACACCAATAGGCCATATGTTTTGCTCCACAGGTTTTTGTAGAGCGATCCCAATAGGGATAGAAGTATCGCCCATTTTAGTCTTCCTCTTCTTTTTGGCTGACTTGGTTTGGCGCCTCTCACGAAGGTCCTTAAAACTAGGAACTTGGAAATGATCCTTCATTTTTTCTTCTGTAAGGGAGAGTTCTTGTGGGGTTAGAAGGTGTATAGTTGACTTACTAAAGATAAAGAGGTTGTAGTAACGAACCAATAAAACATACAACAGCAGCCTCCAAGGTGGAAACGGGATACCTTGAATTATCTCTAGAATGTGCCCCCACAAATGGCTCTACCTCATATTCGACTCCTCCAATACGCGACGGTAGTTCCTATCTTTGTCCATAATTTCAAGTATGGCATGAGTCCTCTCTTCAGCAAGCAATCTCGACAATGTGTGATTGTAAGACAAGTCTGCAAAAAAAGAAACAATGAGATTCAGTACTCTATCTAAAACTAAAGATTCTGAGGTTACTCACCCATTGCCTGCCAGAAGAAGGGGATCTCCCTGGCTTTGTTCTCCCAAAAAAAACAAGCTTTCCTTTTATAAAGAAGTACAAATCCTTCCACTTCTTATCATAGGTCTTTAGCCTCGTCACTAAGTGTTTATGGTCGTGCCGTAGCATAAACAAGTATCGCCCCTCTCTTTATCATGCTCTTTAATGTAATAAGTAAAAAGCAAGTCCACCACTCCGAACCCTATCTTCAACTTCATGCATAAAAACTCCAAAGATAGCAATAATCTCCACCCATTTGGCATTAATTAACTTGGGGCAATTATGTAATGGTTCAACACCTCCTACACCAATCTCGATATTGGGAACCTAAGACCTTCAATTAAAGTTTGCTCATATATGCTTATCCAACTTGGCACCAACCAATCTACCCTCTCATGTCGAGTCGAAGCTCTAACTTCTATTGACTTAGGTATCTTGTAGAGACACCTAAGCCTTGGCACATCGCCCGAAACAAGTCTCAAAGGTGGATTGTCATTCAACATACAACCTCCAGGGTAACTCGGCTGGCCCTTGCCCTCACAATCACCTCTGGTTGACAAAATCTCCCCCCGTCTAGCTAACTAAATCCTGGAGTCACTTTCAGTTCCACTTTCACTATCAGAATCGCCATCACTGGAGCCGCTTTGGCTCAACTCTGCATTCGGGTCCATTGACGGCCCTCCCGCGTGAAAAGCTATGTTCACACGCCCAGTCGGAGCTTGCTCTTCACCTTGAGGAAGCACAACACTCGTAGGAGTGTTGTTATAATCATCTCCACCAAACATGTTTTCTCCACTCGGCTTCAGCCGGAAGTCGGCTAGTATGTTCCTTATGCGAATAGCCACACAACAACTTGGCAAGAAACACCACACGGCTCTGCTTGAAAACACACCACTTCAATACCTACGCCTCCCGACAACTCAGAGCGATGGAGATTATAGATCGAGGTGCGACACCAATCAATTGCGATTCGGCTCGGCCAAATCGACCTTATTCGATTCTACTCAAAAGACAAGTATACCCCTCTTCTTCCTTCTTTAGACCTAAACTAAAAACAACCTCCCACCAAAAACCGCTAAACACCTTTGAAATAAAAACACTTTTCTCATAAAAACCAAACCCCAAATTCAACCTAACCTTAAACCACTTCAAAATAGCCTCCAAATGCTCAGTATCTACTCACGAATGCAAAAGAAGCAAAAAATGAGCAAAAAATAAGAAGAAATATGAGTATTTACCATGAGATTTGCCGAAAAA